CTCCATGCATCATTATGAGTATTATGTCTTTTGCAAAGAAAGTATTCAGTAAATATCAGGTATTATTATTATTACCAAGGTAACATATGACATAACCTTTGAAACATTTATAGACTTGAACAGTTCTTTATTTTTATTCAAAGATCTTTTAGATAGATGTGTGGAAGACAATCTGTTATATTGTCAACATACATGGGGTTTTATTAAAATTTATCAAAATTCTTATTAAAAAGTTAAAACTATAGTGTAAGCTCCTATATACATGTATTATTAGTTTTTCAAGCTATGACACATGCTCATTATATTTCTCCTGTCTTCTCGAGGAATAAGAATGCACTTGCCCTGACTAGAGCAAGAAGATGAAATTTTGCAACTGGAAATACCCGCAATTACAAGTCAGTCCTCATCACACAAGTGATTCTAGTTGTATATAGTTTTTGAGTCACATAATGAGCTCAGATTTTTCTCAAGACAGGCCTTCAGATTAGGCAAACAGAAACCGTGCACATCACAAGCTCCAGGAAATGATTTTAAACATCTCAATCCTTCGTAGATTGTTTGTGATAAGGATTGCATCATCTGCATTCGGACATCCTGTGTATTAAATGAGGGCTCCCAGGCAGGATGGCCCTCTTTCCCTGTAGGGGAAACAGGCCACAAGTTGACCAACAGTCACAGGGCTGCTTTGCAGCTCTACTTGGGAGGTCATCTTGCTTTTTAAACAATTCAGCCCACTTGAGACTGTTAAAAAGAACTATCAAAGTCATATCCGCACTATTTCTAGAGTAAACGTCCATAGTGTAATAAAAGTCAAACATTTAAAAGTAGCAAAAGAGTCTAGATTATATTGTTAAAAATCTTGTAGATCCTCATGTAAAATATGCCTACGAATTCTTTGGAACATGGAACATATGGAACCATTAAAATTGTATTGTAGAAATAACGGAATGTGACTTAAGAAAACTCTGATTCTAGCCTTAAGCTTGTTGGTTGAGTGAAGGAAGGGGCTGAGGGATGAAGCCATGGCTCAAAATGACATTGTAAAGAAAGTCAAAATCAGCAGAGGAAAAAGTTATCCGAATGGCAGCTTCAGAATAAGCAATAAAACAGTAAAAAAATATATATGCGTGCGTGCGTGTGTGTGGTGTATGTACAATATGTATAAATCCAAGACAGAAAACTCAGTTTATTAGAGGGATTCATAGTAATACACTTTCTGTGCCCAAGGCTAACTTGATTAGTATCAGAAGAAAAGTTAATGTTTAAACAGTCCTTCCCACATCTGCTATTTCCATAATATCTGTGTTATTGTCATAAATTAGGAGTGGTAGAGGGCACAGTGCCAACTGTCAAAACAAATGGCCAACTCTGGATTCCAAGTTGCAGATTATTTTCCTTGAGTCAGAGAGTCATGGAGGCTGCCTGTCGTAACTGTGGCCCACTTGAATACTGGGAGGGTCTGACCCACTCACCTGGATCCTGGCCATAGCCCCCACCCTCTGCAACAAGGCCCCTTGGCAGGGCCAGGCTAATGACAAGTTACAAGGAAACATTGTCCCTTTCTAAAAAGAAAAAGTGAGCTCGACAGGAAGTTTCTATCACTGGGGACACTAGAAAAACTCAAGCACCACTAACCCCATGGGGTTGGCACCTGTTTTATCTTCTATATGATGTTAGTCACCTCCTCTGCACGTAAATCCTCCTCATGGATTCTACTCCCCACTCCTTAAAGTCAAGGTCCATGTTTTGAGCTTTCTGCACCCCAAACAGTGTTCACCTTGTGATTAAAAAGTCAGCACGTGGTTTGGCCACCTTTGCTTTTTTACTACACAACAGCCCAGTGAAAGAAACCAGTCATACAGGTTTGTCAAATTTTGTTCTGTCTCCTTCCTGCTTCTCTTTTCCATGTAATTCAGCCCCTCGGGTCAGACAGGTGCTTTCCCTTCTTGCTCCTCTCTGTTGGATTGTATTCCTCGTGGTTCTACATAGGCTGGAGGGAGGTAAGGCCTTGAGACTAAGCTTAATACCACACTTTGCCAGAAAGCTCTACACTAGGGTTCAGAGTAGCAGCCTACCAAAAGTAAGATGGTGCCTTGTTTCTCAAAATCACTGTCCCGTGTTCATATATTTTTTAAGAATATCATGAAAACGTCAAGGCAGGATTTAGTGTTGACCTCATCCTATCAGCACCAGAATTTCACCCAACTACTGATAATCTTGTCATTTAATAATGTTTTAGATGCAAATAGGGAATCTCAGAGAGAGGCAGGGGATATGGCTGCCTCTCACTTTCCCAGCACTTGGTCTTAATTTCTAACCTGCAGCATGGCCAGTGGTTGAGTTCTGTTACAACCAAGAAGCTTTATCAATGGTGGATCTTTCTCAGATATAAAAAGGATACTCTCAAACGCCATATCAATTAGATCACCGTTAGGAAACAGACCTAGTCCATACTTTTTTATTTGACTGTTAGAGTTATAAACAATAAAAAGAGACAGAGAGAAAGGTCCTCCTTCCGCTGGTTCACTCCCCAAATGGCTGCTACAGCCGGTGCCCTGCGCCAATCCGAAGCCAGGAGCCAGGTGCTTCCTCCTGGTCTCCCATGCAGGTGCAGGGCCCAAGCACCTGGGCCATCCTCCACTGCCCTCCCAGGCCACAACAGAGAGCTGTAGTCCATATTTCGTCAGTCAGTCTACTAGAGTTCATTTTGTAGAGTACCAAGGATGAATCATTTGGAAGCCAGACTTTCATTCAATCATTTGAGAGATAATTATTGATTTCCTACTTGATGCCAGGATGCTTTAGGAGCTGAGTACACACCACTTAACAATACAATATCCCTCAACTCAGAGACAAGGACAGAAGACAGATAATCAACATCCAAACAAAGATCATTTCAGATAGTAACAACTGATAGCAAATCTTCATAAAGGCTAGAGACTGATGAGGAGGTATGATGTGGGGCTATTTAAATGCTTCTTCTGAAAGGTCTGTGAGGAGGAGACACCTGCAGTACCAATCAGCTGAGTGAAGATCTTTGGGAAGACTCTTCAGAAAAAGATGTGCTAAAGCTTTGAAATAAGAATGAGTGTGGTATATTCAAAAAACAGAGACCAAAGATATAGTGTATGGAGCACAGGAAACAGCAGAGAAGGAGGCTGACCTCAGATCATGGAGGGTATTGCAAGGAATTTTAATTTATTAATTCTAGGAGAAAGCCACAGAAGGAAGTGAATCATGTTTTTCAAAGTTCATCCTGACTGCAGTGAAGTGAGAAGAAGAATGAAGGGTAAGGAGGACAGCAGAAGACAGGTTGTCAAGCTGTTACAGGTGTACCTGCAAGCTACTCTTGATTCCTGTCTGGGGGTAGGGTGGGGTGGGGTGGGGATACAGAAGAGTTGGTGAGAATTGGTCAGATACAATGTGTATTTTGGTGACAGGGTTAACAGCACTGGCTTGTGGACAAGACACATGGTGGGGAAGAGAAAGGAGTTAAGTTTTGGTTTTAGTAGTTGATGCAGAAAATCAGATCTGTGTTCTCAGTTAAATTAGATGTATCTACTAGGCATTAAGGTGGAAATGCTGGTTAGATTGTCTGATATGGGAGTCTGTTGGAAAGTTTTAGAGCCAGATATACAAAATTATTCATCTGCTCAATTCCGAGACCAATGGTGATCATACCCTCTTTCTAGCCTTCTTACTACTGTATGGCTATGAAAGCAAAATTTGGTAAGTGATAGAGATGTAACTCTCTCTCATATCCAAAATAATTTCAGCAATTGTTCATCTTTGGGTTTCCAACCAGACTGTTATCCTTGCGGATGACTGATAAACTATCCCAACATACATTGTTTTCTAAGTCTGCTTATATTAGTTCGTGCTTATCTGCAGCCTATTCGTATCAACCCATTATAAACCCACCTCATGATGCACCCCCCTCCAAGATGCATTCTGAGACACACTACTCTCTCACACAGCGATTTCATTTCCCCATCACACAGGCATGCCCCAACATGAGAATAACTTGGATTCTAAATGTTTCTTTGAATTCACTTCTAAAGAGCATCAAATCTAAGTTCAAACAGAGAAAGAATTATACATTACAGCTCTTATTTGCTAAGCCAACAACAGATCAGCTAATCATTGGCAAGAACTCTAGAGAGTGAAATTCAGGATCTTAAGTTCCAGGGTGAGTAGGACTTGTCTGGAACCTTCTGCTGCAACAGGGAGGCGAGAATTCCATGGCAGGTCCTCTGCACAAATGGGCTTCAACTCTGAAGAACAGGAGCTACAGCTCTTCTTCCTAAATACAACTTTCAGAGGCATCTGATTGCCCTGAGTTATTTACATTATGATGACAGGAAACTTAAACCAGTAATAGAGATATCCATATCAATCTCCATCGAGATAGTCGTTTTCCACCTGGGTAGAAAAGGCCGTGGATTATAAATGTAACCATTCCACAGCATTAGAACACTGGGAGCACTTTGTGGGGAAAATAGAGAAAGTCACCTTTGTAAATCTTGCCTTGATGCTGATGCGGAACAGTCATCACAAAGTGTGAAGACTACTAAGTTAGAAGAAACAAGTAGACAAGACCTTGCTGAAGGACTCAGGGAATGCTTCTACACTCTAGAAGTAGCCCAAAGACAGCATTAACAAGGTGGTAATTTGTAAAGCAATTATGAATATCAGTTTACATGATAAGGAATCCAGATAAATGTATCTGTCTACCTACCTATGTATTAAGTAATCAAAACTGGTTCATGAATTTGCTAGGAATATGTTGAGAAAATTTTCCAGCCAGGCTTTTAAAGGCACAATTTTTACCCCTTTCATTAATTATAAACATGCTGTTGTCAACTCTGAAAAAAATGAGCCTTCCATAAGAACCTACCCATTAACACTATAATCATTCACCAATTAGAACAAGAAATTGCACTCAAATATTAAATCTACCGAGTACTTTCATTGAAACCATAAGAAGAGAATATTCTTACCAGTTGCCTTTTGGATTTATAAATTGCTGCACTGAATAGCCGAACTGTTCATTTGAAGGACCAGAAAATATTTTTGCTTCTGGGAGACCAACATTGTATGCCAAACAATTTAAAATGCCTATTGAGAAAAAAATGAAAGCATAGTACATATTTACACCTTGTGAATATAAGTATATAATGTAAGTTTCAAAAGGCCACTTTTCTAAAAAGCTTGTTTGACCTCATAATTATTCTTAACAGTGTTTCCACAAGTAGCAGCAACTTCTGCTTTCAAAATTCAGTCATGCACTGCTTTGGTCAAAGACGGACCACATATATCATGGTGGTCCCATGACAGCATATACCTAGAGACATTGTAATCACCTTAGTTTGTGTACATGCACTCTATGATACTTGCACAATGACAAAATCAGCTAACAGCTCATTTTTCTAAGCGATGTGTGTGACTACTTGTTTGAGGTCTCACACCAGGCTAAGTGTTTGATATGCATGATTTACAAGCTTATTCATTCTCCAAGAAACCCCAGGAAGTGATTACGGATATCACCTTTGTTTTGCAGAGATTTCTGAGACTCTAGGAGGTGACTCAATATCATAGTTGGAGAGTGGTAAGGTTAAAGGCAGGATTTGAACACAAGACTGATTCAAGGGCCTGACCTTTTATTATTTTTTTTAAGATTTATTTATTTGAGGGGTAGAGTTACAGAGAGGGAGGGAGAGACAGAGACAAAGGTCTTCCATCCCTAGTTCACTCCCACAGATGGCCACAACAGCTGGAGCTGGGCAGATCTAAAGCTAGGAGACAGGAGCTTCTTCTAGGTCCCCTGCACAGGTGCAGGAGCCCAGGCACTTGGGCCATCTTCTACTTCTTTTCCAGGTCATACCGGACAGCTGGATCAGAAGAGCAGCAGCTGGGACACAAACTGGTGCAGGCTTAGCCCACTACACCATAGTGGTGGCCCCGACCCTGACCTTTTAAACCACTATATTAGCTCTCAGTGTTAAGGAATTTGAGTTCTATTTGTACTTCCTAACAAGCACCGCCTCAGTGCAGGGCCTGTAGGGTATCCTCCACGTCTTCTGAATCCCCTTCAAGATCCTGATGCAGACTCTACGTGAAATGTCTGTTGAAGAGCACTACTGCTGACTACATCAAAAGGGATGCAAAAATCACAGCTCCTTTAAAATTCTATCATTTGACTTCTGAAGGGGTCACTTTTGAGGATGAAAATGTAGCAAAAATGTTCCATATCTGTTTTATTCCAGGAGAAACTATCAAAAGTGGCTGAGCTTTTGAAGGCCTCTTTCTAAATGAAGAATAAATGATAATCATCTAAAACAGAAAAGGACCAAGGAGGCTTTGACAGACGTTTCTGAAAATTCTTGTTTCTTATGGAAAGGGAAATACCACTGATTCCATTTCTCCAGTGACACTGGTAGCATTCACGCTGGTAGGCCTTTTTGCTATAGACAGATGGTTGTGTAGATTAATATTCTCTATGCAGAAGTGAACGTGTTTCATGCTACTTAAGATCCATATTTATCTCTGTAGACACTGAAAAATGGACTTTTAAGGTCAACACAGAAGCTCTGTTACTATGTGTTTTCACCAGCAAATATCCCACGTTCTGGGTAGCATTGAAACTATGCAGTATTTCAAAATCTATTGTTTCAGGCACTGAAATGCTGGAAGAAAATGACTTGCTCTTGCACTGTGCCTTCAAACTTCTGGGGGCAGACCGTGCAGAATGCTCCAAAGGAATAATGAATCAGTGATGAAATTTTGGGACTTAGAGTAGTTAATGTGTCTGTCGAAGAGCCAAAGTCATCCTACTGGGGATTTATTCACTCTAGAAAGCTCTTCATTTCTCAGAAATATGTACTGCCAAAAAGAAATACAAACATTAATTTTAAAATGCTCTGTAGCAAAAATCTACACAACTCAACATTTGTAAATTTTCTCCTTACTATTTTTCATATGCACGACTACTTTTTATTTTTGAGAAAATAAAGTGCAAAAGAAAATGACATGGCCAACCAAGCAGAAAATGAGAATCGGCATCCCAAATACTGGTGTTTCCAATCAACAGTTTATTTTCACCCTACTGTAAAGAACCCAATAAAAGCTATTTGAGTATGCTATCAATTAGCCAGCATACAGTAAAATGTTGGGGAGATGATGCCAAATTGTTCCCACTTTTAAAACATCTAATGCTGGAAGCAACATGTGTGACTATATGGACATTGATTTCATTTTTCAGTTAGACCTCAGCAAATGGTAAAATGAACTCCCTCATGATTTTGTGCCATTATATCACCTAGAGTCAAATTTTATTTATATATATGTATGATATATATGTATATATATTTATAAAATACACAGGCCCTTAATGATGGTCATACATTTTGAGAAATTCGTCACCAGCCAATTTCACTGCTGTGAGAACACTAGAGGAAAAACTAAGATGTTTATGATGTCACCAGACAATATAAGCTTATGGAATCACCACTGGATATGTTTTGTCTGTTATTGACAAAACATTATGCAGGGCATGACTATACATATGTGTATTAAATATGCATATGAGTGTATGTCTATCATCATCAGCTTACAAGTCAGGAAAACAAGTTCATTTTAATACCTAACAGTCCAATTTTATTATATATGTACATATATACTTACTTATACACACATGTATAGCTACATACTTAGAAGCGCATTTATATAACATGATTAAAAATATGGTACACATCATTTCATCTTCCTGATTAAAATAATCCAACATAGGGACAAGCATTGTTGTGCAGTAGGGTTAAGTCACTGATTGGGATGCCTGCATCCCATATTGGAGAGCCTGGTTTGAGTTCTGGCTACCCTGTGCTTCTGATCTAGCTTCCTGCTCACGCACCTGGGAGGCAATAGGTGATGGCTTAAGTACTTGAGTTCCCGCTACCTACATGGTAGATACAGATGGCGTTTTGGGCTTTTGGCTTTATCCTGGCCCATTTGTGAAGTAAATTACTACATGGTAGATTGAAAAATCTCCGAGTGTGTGTTTCAAATATATTTTTTCTTAAAATATACCCCAGTGTGTTACCACTACACTGAGAATGAAATCTTGTTTCTCCAGAATGGTTTCAAAGGTCCTGTGTACCTCTCTGACCTCACTCCCCACCACTCTCCAATGGCTGAAGAAAAGAGAGCCAGAGAGTGCTAATAAGCTTTAAGGTCCTTTTTATAATAGCACTAATCCCATTTATAGGGATTGTACTCATATAACCTAATAACCTCCCAAAGGACACACCTCAAAATACCATCACACTGGGGATTGTATTTCAACGCAAGATTTTCAGTGGGATGTAAACACCCAGCATATATTCTTTTGCAATCTGATAGTCTGGAAAATTCTCAGCCTGATTGCAAGCCTATCAAATGCTGGTTCTTTTTTGTTTAAGAAACTCCTCCTCTTTCTCCTCCTCCTCTAACTCATCAACCTTTCTTCTTTTTAAAGAACAATGTGGAGCACAAAAAGCCTCTTCTTGACACAAGTTATTTTTTACTTATTTATCTGAACACTGAATCACAGAGGGAGAGACAGAGGGAGAAAGAGAGGAAGAGGGAGAGGTAGGACTGGGAATGGGTAAGGGATTGAGAGGGAGGGGAGGGACAGATTGAGGGAGAGAGAAAGAAACCTTTTATCTACTGGTTCATGCCCCCCTACCCCCAACCCTGCCAAATGCCTGTAACAGTCAAGGCTGGGCCAGGCCAAAGACAAGAGCCAGGAACTCTATCTGGTTCTCCCACATGGGTGGCAGGAAACTAAGTACTTTTGTCATCATTTGTTGCCTCTGAGGTACAGTGGCAGGAAGCTGGATCGGAAGTGGAAGCAAAATTCAATCCCAGGCACTCCAATATGGGATGTGGGCACCCCAAGTGGCACTTAACCTACTATGCCACAATGCCCACCCCAACATTTCTTCTTTAAGTTACCTCTCTCCTATTTTGCTGTATTCAACAAGGAACAATCAAATCAGGCCACACCCTTTAACATTTAGCTCAGAAATTTGCCTATCTAAATATCCAAGTTCTTCTCTAAAAAAGTTATATGCTTTCTACACAGCTCTGGGACGCAGGTCACATTTTCAGCTACTCTAATGGGGATCACATTTTCCTAGGTTTCCGAGATCACACTCCTCATTTCCTTCTAAGCCTCACCAGAAACAGCTTGAACATTCTTGTTCCTATGACAAGTCTCTTCAATGCAATCCACAAAGACCCTCTTTTCAAGTAAGGTAATATTTCTAGGTGTTAATCTAGGATAGACACATATTGATGTGGTGGGGGTAGCATTTATCTCAACACAATGGGTAAGCAGAGCATGTTAGATTCTGACTGCTCTTTATCTGGGCAACTTCTCAGTGTTGTTTTTATAATGGGCAACATCAAAGGATGAGGTAATAGCTTCCCCTAGGACAAAGAGCAGGCTTGCTGGCTGCTTGCTATAAAACAACAGGCTAACGAAGCTCAGTGTTCCTTTCCTATAATGAAATTCATTTTGTGTGCCCCCGTCTGTCTGGGCACCTTCGTGTAACTACTGTGAGACTACAGTGGGGCAAGGGGTTCCAGAGTGAGGATGCTCATGCTGTTTGCTGTGAGTAATAAAGTCTTTTTCTCCGATTCGTGAACCTCATGCCAACAGCTGCACCCTTGACACAATAACAGGCCGATGTATGAGCTTGCACGCGCGGTCTCAGTCAAATCCAACAGCAGACTTGACAGAGCGGAGAACAAAAACTCTGCAGCCAGGAAGTTGGAGGCCAAATGAATGAAAATGTGCACATCCTGAAAGTTCAGGGAAATCCTGGGAGAGCACTGCATTTTCTTAGAGGGATAGAGCAAGTGTCTGAATGAATCCTATCTCAGTTTTAAAAGGTAGAGAGTCAGAGTTTAGCAGCCATTTCATAAACAGCATATGCATATATCATTTACTTGGCAATTACTCTGTATTCATATTAAAGCAACACTTCCATGGCCAGAAATAAACTCAATATATCATTTTACCTAATGGGATGATAATGACTGGACAGTCTCCTTCAAAATTACATTGAAGCCCTAAG